ACATTTAAAACTAGCATGAAGTTTGTGTTTTTATTTGAAATACAATGTAAATGCATACATCTATGTAGTGGATGAAAAGTATTCTTCAAACATCTCACTACTATTGAACTATTTAGGCTTTTATTCACCTCTAAATGGAGTGCCAGAGTGACGTGTCCTAAAAGAAAGTAAGTTAGCATTTTACCACTTCTGGTTCCTTCGACAAAAAGCAATGGGATCTCTCCATAGGGTTTAGGAAACTAGCTGTAAATAAGGTCTGTGGTTGAGACACATTGAAGAGACGGATCACGTTTTGTTCTAGGACATTAAATCCATCAGCAGTGACCCCACTGGTGATTTCTGAAGAGTTGACGTGTCTGAAAAACGATGGTTGTTACCAAGTGGCTGAATAGGACTACAGAAGTCGTGGAGGACGTTGTACGTCATTACGCCGAACACGTAAACACTCCTCTAAGTTAGTTTGCCCTGTTCTGCTTGAAAGCAAGTACCTGCCTCCTGCTAAGTGTTCAAACAAACGCTTCAACTCGTTCCATTTAGAATCTGTGTGTTTGAATATGGATCTGAAGTTGGCGTGACGTTGAAGTCGTGCTGCTGTACTCATGGGGCGTGTGGCGCAGTGGGTTGTCCGTTGGTGTTGGGATCAGGGGTCACAGGTTCAAACCCCACTGCAGTCAGCATGTCGTTGTGTCCCTGAGACACTTCACCCCAAAGTGCTCCTGTGGGGATTGTCCACAGTATTGAGTATGTAAGTCGCTTTGGATAAAAGCGTCTAACAAGTGACATGTTGTAATGGACTCGGCTGTAGTTCCTTTATAGCATAACGTTAGCATTTTGCTTCTGGAGATTAGAGTTATGATTAGAACATTATCAAGTAGACATGTGGAGATGATCCGCTGAACAAAACGTGATCTGTCTCTTAGATGCGTCTCAACCACAGACCTGATTTCCAGCTGTTTTCCTAAACCCTATGGAGAGATCTCATTGCGTTTTTGTCGAAGGAACCGGAAGAAGTTTACTTCCAGGTTTTTAGGACGCGTCACTGTGGCTCTCTTTAGCCTTCCTTAATAAATATATATATGTTTTCATTTCTAAAACTCCTACAGTCATCCTGAAAATGGGTTATAGAGGTTATTTGCATAAAAATACACAATTTTAATGATAATTATGAGTTTTGAAGATCTATAACAGACTTCTTGGAGCTGAATGAAACAGGTCATGATAGCCTCTCTAATATTTGCTTTATATTGCTGTGGATTTATTAAAGATTCTCACCTCAAACTACATTTTACAATGACATTGAACACATGGAGAAACCAGCTCGAGTGCGCTAGAATTTGAAAGTACACAACCGAAGGGCACGAGATAAGTTTGTGCACAGATGGAAGGCTGACAGGCAGGTAGGCCATCCAGTTACTTTAGCCGGGCCGGCTCAGATGATTGGTCGTGCTTTTTACAGTACTACGGCTTCCACAGATGATATTTATTTAATGGATTTATTGTCAAAGCATTTAATATATTCATTGCTATCTGGATGTTAAGAGCATTCCATGGAATATAACAAGTGTTTCTGAAATAAATTACCTACCCCACCTTTAAGGTTGTTTTGGTGTAACTAGTTATAACTTGTCAGGCGGAGCATGTTGAGAACATTAACAGAATTGGCACACACACACACACACACACACACACACACACACACACACACACACACACACACACACACACAGGCAGTGAGTCCTTTGTCTTTCTCTTAAAAAAGTGACGTACCCACTCTCGGACCTGCATTCCTACAGTGTGTGTGGTGTGTGTGTGTTGTCCTTACAGAGGAAGTGAGCGGGCGTTTCACCCCTAGCTGTGAATAGGTGGAGTCTGAGGTTGTGTAATGCTGCTCTCATAACAAACATTGTATTACTCTGCAGTCAGGTCTTCTCTCTGTGGGAGCTGCAGAGTTTCTGACACACAGCATGGAGTCATCTGGAAAGGGAGATATTTAATAACTCTGTTCCCGCCTCAACACCTTGTCATACTTCCAGAACATTGCCTGTAGTTCTGTGTGAATGATGACAGGGACGAGCATGTGACGGCTTGAACCAATCGCAAGCTCTCGCGCTGATCTGAGACTTGTTTAGCATTTAGACTCAAACCTGTTCAGTATGTCAAAGATTCAAAGGAAATCAAAACCAGTTTCCCCCATGTCTCCTTCTCCTTCGATGAACTTGTTGACTGGTTTGCATTTTGTAACTCCAGCCAACTTCCTCCAGATTCAGCCCGAATAACTCTGTACCTGAAAACCAGTTGAGCTTTTCACATATGATCAAAGCACGCTGGAGCTTTTTGCATTCAGATTGAAATATAACCTGAGCTTCATCAGTGTTTCCCCGTACTAAGAAAGTATTCTATTTGTATTCAATATGTTTATAAATCCTTTTATTTCATGTTTTGATAATAATAAAATACACTAGGTTCTTTTTAAACTTCACATATTCTTTTTCCATATCTGTAATCCTTTGTGTTCATTTTAAAAGTTTTATTGCCGTCATTTTCAATCTTTTTATTAATTGTATCAACTGACTCGGCCAATCAGATCGAAGCATTTCTTGTTTATTTGTTTCTTGTTGTTGTCGAGAGTCAAGTGTTGAGGGAGGGGGGGGTGGGAGTGCGCTGCGTTCTGATTGGCTGAGAGGAGCTGGCTATGTGACATCATCGGGGTGTTGGTGGCAGCAGTAAACAAGAGGGAACTCTGAAAGGCTCTCTGTGCTCATGGACACACACACACACACACCACACACACACACACACCACACACTGGAACACACACACACACACACACACACACACCACACAGGACACCCACACACACACACCACTGAACACACACACACACACACACACACTGGAACACACACACACACACACACCACACACACCCACACAACAC